TATACGTTGCCCAGAGTGCACCACGTGGAGGTAAGTCTATCACACACCCCACATAGGGTGAAATAGTTTACTAAAATTCTCCGCAAAATTATCATTCAAGCAGTGTAAACAAATATTTGTGATAATTTCAATCACTCCTTTAGAGATAAACCTTAATCAAGCACTGCATCGGTAGTGTAGCAATCGGCATCTACTTCGACAAAATCAGGCAGGTTCATATATAATAATAAAATTAAATTAGTCAAGGAGAGGAACTAGTTTCTCCACAAGCTTCTTGTAGGACTGTGGATCATTTTAGCAACCAATTAAAACAGAAACAAAGGAGTCCATTACCTAATAGAATTACAGAAGGAAGGAATATGTGCTAATAAAACGCTTCTAATGCATGCATTTCATCGCATGAGTTGAAAGACATAAACATGCCGAATGAAATAATATGGATGAAAAATTGCTATCTTTTCATTTGATATGATGCTTTATTTCCAATTTCATAAGTATCAATATAAATAATTTACTAGGAAACACTGATAATTACCATTTAGTTTATGAAGTCATATTTCACATCACAGATCTTCAGAATATCCAACAGGGAAATCGTTTTTCCTTATTCTCCTCCCAATTTGACAAAAACTTCCTATGTTCAGATACCTAAATTAAGTTTAGAAGGTTGCGGTTTGAATTGCTAACTTACTGCAGCGTTAAGTTTGTCGTCTGAGCTCATAATTGGACCTAACTTGCATAGGTCATGGAGAAGGATTCGATCTGTGATTAATCCGGGAAATCGATTCTCAAATCGCTTTACCTGATGGTAGAGCTCTTGCCGAATGTCGCATTTGTAGAATGACTTTGTGCCGGGTCTAATTCGGCTGAGATAGTCGTCATCATCGTGGATCAGCATGTCGAACTGAGAGCTCACTCGAGTGCAAGTGATGTTACGCAGAGTAGGGGAAATTTCCGTTTTGCGCTCACTAATCCGATTACTCCACTTAAACAAAAGATAAACAAAATTGAAATTTTATATATTAAAATTGGCACCCCGAATTTATGAAATAAATTTTTTTGACTAATTTATTTTTTCTAAAAAAATATTATTGACTTGATTTATATTTGCAGATCGAAATAGTCTGATTCCTTACTTTTCGGTGGATATGGATAATTCATCTCCCGAATGGTTTAAACGAATTGCAAGTTCTCTCACGTCTTCTGAGTCTCCTTGCTATCTGAAAGAGTTGAAATTCACCAAGGCCTTCGAAGAACCGGTAAGATGATACTATGAAATATTTTCATTAATATTACCTTTATATTACTTCACTGTCTTAATTTTTGAGCAGTTAAATTGTATGTCATGTTATTTAGTTTAATATTTTCCATAGTAGTACAAATTAGTTAAAATTTTATTTTTAAAAAGCTCCTGTTATTGTCACAAGGTAATCCCAACAAATGGTGATGCGGGGAACAAGGTCAAGGTATCAAATGACTCTACTTCATGTAATTTCTATTTCTCAAATGGCTAAGTATTGACTAAATTGGCACTTCACGTTGAGAAACTCAAAATTTCATGATTCGCCACCAGAATTGCCGAAGCTGCTAGTTTAAGGTGGTACTATTTAACTAAGGCATATCTGTCTTGCAGCTTGAAACAATCTTATCTAATTTCACAGGGTATAACATTAACATTGCAAAGATTAGGTAACATTTTTGAAGATTTTCCCACTATTTATCCCTTTAACAGATTAACTCGAATTCATTTAAAAGTGAACGAAAGTGGAAGAGGTACAAGGATTTATAGACCTCATTAGGAATGCAGTCATGGAGTTCTAAAAACACGTTTGCCTCGATTATGATCTGAATAGTTCTACTCGAGGTTTATTATATTTCTACTAAAGGCATGAATCAATACAGTTTACAAAATGAAATCATATTTCTCTACCCAAGTCAAATGCTTTTATGCAGATGGAAACTTCAGGACTGGATAAAAGTTCGTACAACTTCGAATGAATTGTCATTTGCCTTTGATACCTATTTGTGCACAAATCCAAATTTCGCTTTTGAATAGCAAATTTTCACTTTCTACGAAATTCGTTGTCATAGTGCTAGTGCTTCTTATTGGCTTGTGTACTATATGTTCGTTTACTGTTTTGAATTCGGGTACGTGAGAAGAACGACTCGTAGGTCACTGGAACTCATCTTTACTTGCAATCTCCATTCATCCCCAGAATGAAAATATTTTTTGGTCATAATTTAAGTGAAGAAATCGTAGCAGTTTTTTTTCTATGTTTAACAGTGTGTACTCGCCATCTTCATTTGTTGCGTCGTTTGTGATTAAAGTTAGAACGCCAATTCGTATCTAATGCTTTGTTGAGTTCGGATCTGATTTCTTGTACAATAAAAAGGATCTCTACGGCGAGACATGTTTCTCGAAACCTACTTCTCCGAGGGTTTCATGTAATCAATTTAAGTGGATTTTAAATTTCCCATGTATCAATTTTATTTATTTTCTTTCTCGTCACCTTTAAGTGAAACATTTATTTATTTATATCAAAAGGCAGGCGTTTTGATGGTTATCAATAGACCTTTAGTTGACTTCAGGCTTCACAGAGGGGAAGGAACATCAAAGTGAAAAATGTCGAGAGGAGGGGAACTGAAGAGTGTTTCAAAGACGAAGGTTGAAAATTTAGAAAAAATTTGATATAGTACTGTGGAAGTGGTCGAATATGTCATGCAGTGGGGTCATGGTAGTTTAAAGTCAACTGCCAGTTAATAGACTTTTTTGCCGTATGAGCATACGTTGCCCAGGATGCACCACGTGGAGGTAAGTCTATCGCACACCCCTTAAGTGAAACATTTAAGACCAGTGCTTTGCGAACGCTCTTTATTCACTCTAATCCGTTTGATTTATTTCCTTCTGAAGAGTCGGTAACAGGTGAATCATCTCAGGTATGTTTTTCTTAGGATATAAACAATTGAGGTTAATCCCATTAAAATTTCCTTGATCTTTGCATTGCACCTGCAGATTTCAAACAAATGGCCTACTAATGATATCGACTGGACAGGTTTCACTGATTCCTTCTCACCTTTTCTGCCACGAAATACTGGAATTGGTTGTCGAAGTTTCTCTGACAGTGTATCCATTCGTAAACCAGGCAATGGAAGTCAATTTAAAGTTCCAAAATACGCCTATCCTCCCTCCTTTTCTCTGATTAGTTCTTGTCAGGCAATCACTCTGTTCGACCAAGAGGAAAAGGGATCCCCTTCTATAGCTGAATCCCTTAGTGAAGGCCAGACATTGGATATTGATGAGGAAAAAAGTTGTGAAGTATTTGATGACCAATCCACGGTGGTTATGAATAATGTGATTCCCAATTGGATTATGAGGTTACCTTCAAAATCCGAATCATCATCCTGGTTGAATGGAGCTCAATTTCCCTCAGGGATATTGCCACTAATTGGGAAGATTTGGTTGGTCACTGAAGAGGCCCAAGTGTATTGGTCTCTTGCAACACGTTATGATTGTAATCTGAAGTGGAATAAGGTTCGTCGACATCTTAAAATTGTTCTCGGACTTTGTAATCAAGAGTACTAGTATAATTTTTTGGTTTGTTTTAAGATTGGAGGTCACTTTGCTCAAGTTGAGAGCATTTCACTTTCTGGTGAAGGTGGAGGACAGGTGACCTGGGCTTTGGGACACAATGGTACTCCCTGGGTTCTCCGTGATGATTGGACCGATGGTGGGAAAAAATGTTTTACTTATTCAAGAAAGCGTTTTCCATTCAATACTCCCCATGTCCAAACAGATATTCGGAAATTGCGTGTTCATGAATTTCAGTCTAGACGTATCATTCGTGGATATTCTTCCAGGTTAGTTCTCCGTCTCTTGAATTACTGCTGATATTGATAGAATCCATTGGACGCCAAGTACGACAGTTTTTTTTCAATTCATTACATAGTAAATATGGCGCATACAAGGCCAAACACTTTGGTTCTCGATTATATATCTACTGAATCTTGGTGGCGATTTCCTATTAGAATTAATGCAGATCAGTGGTATTCCTAGTACTAAATTATAACTGCGTATTTGTTAATTACGGGTGAATTCTTATAAAATAATGAATGATCATACTTGTACAAAATAAAGTGGCTAGGTCTATGATTAGTTCAGCCTACTTCGAGGCTGGCAATTTAATGGCATGCTGTTATAGTGTAAGCATTATGCAAGAATTGTTCTTGTGCCACGTTCTTATTCCTTGGCCGCCAAATTTTCGGTTTCATTGGGCTTAAAGTTTGAAGACGAAGTTGCTTTCATTTGAATAAGGTCTGTGCTTTTGGGATAGCTCTGTTGCAACCTTAACAGATAACTTATTTACAAAATGGGGTGGGGGGATGG